TTGCTGCAGTTGTAAGTGGAAGCTTTTCTTTCTTTTATTTTGTAAGGGGGTATTGTGTGTGTGTGTGTGTGTGTGTGTGTGTGTGTATATACAAATATATATGTGTATTTATATAGGTATATATACACACATGTACACAGTTATATGTATACATATATATCTATATATATCAGATTTCCACAAATTAATTTTATATCCTGCTCCCATACTTAATTTTCTATTGTTTATATATATTTTCAGTTGATTTTCTTGGATTTTCCAAGTATGTAATCATAATCTACAAATATTAACGACTTTATAATCTTTTTTTCCCAATGGTTATTGTCTTTACTTTTTCTCTTTCACTAGTACCCTTGACTGATACTTCCAGTACCACTGTATTAGCAGTAGGAGAGTGGCCATCCCCCTTGTCTTCCTCTTTTTTTGTTTTTCTTCCTCTTGATCTGAGCAGGAATCCTCCAGTGTTTCCCCGTTAACCTTGAAACTGGCTTTGAATCTTAGGATTAATTTCTAGTCAGACATTACTACTTTACTGTATTGGGAAAACTGAAAATTTGGTCCAACAGTAAGGTCTATAAATGTCCAACAGTAAGAGATTGGTTAAATACATTATGGTGCACCCATTGAATGGAATAGTCTGAGCAATTACACAATAATATGTACTGTTTTAATTCATTTTGTTATTTTAAAAATCCTAAAGTATATGCAAGTATGCATGGAAAAGTGTCTGGAAGGATATTCAACAAACTGATCTAAAAGTTATAAACATATACGTAAACTAGTAATTGTTAACATCTATTTAATTTGTAAAAAATTTTTTTAATTTATGAAAATATTTTGGCACAATTAAAAAAATAAGTTAGAAATTTAAGAAAAATTATGTTCTTCCCCTTCCTCTGTTTTGGGTCCCTTTCTGTTACTTAATTTTTTTTAATCACTTATTCTTTGCAGAGTAGCACTAAAATGATAGTGTACAAAGGGGTTTACAAGATATAAGCCACAAGAAAGAAGAGGACTGGAGAAAAGTTCACAGCAGATGGGAGATCTCAGTAAATTTTGGAAGCCAGAAGTTGGATGGAGTAGAGATGCAGTTATACCTCGGTATCTTTGGGGGATTGGTTCCAGGTCCTCCTTTGGATATCACAGTCCATGGATACTCAAGTTCCTTACATAAAATGGTGAAGTACAGTCTGCCCTCCTTATGACCGGGTTCCACATCCACAGGAATGAAAGGCCGACTGTAATTGACTTGGCAAATTGGGAGAGGGGCTAACCTAAGTGCTTGGAGGAGACAGCATTTGGAGGTGCACTGTATGGTGGAAGGCAGGTTGTGGAATAAACCTGAAGAAGGGGGATTGACCAAAGTTGTTTACAAAGCTCTTGGACCACTGGTTCTCCTCCCCACCTCATACAGCCAGCCTGCACTCATGCACTCCACCCTGACTGTACCACTACCAACACAATCTTTCTGTGAAGTATGAAATTTCTTTTCTGGAGAAAGCAGTTTTTTTTTTGATGGAGAGTTCCCATAACAAAAGAGCTAATCATAGAATGGGAAAGAAAAATATGTCTGAAATAGAAACTTTAGAAGGTTGGAAGAGAAAGTTAAGTAATTCTCCTGGTCCAGAATTTCTCAGCCTTGGCATGACTGACATTTGGGGCTGGAAATTCTTTGTCGTGGGAGGCTGTCCTGTGCATTGTTACACGCTTAGCAGCCTCCCTGGCCTTTACTCACGAGATGCCAGTGCATGCCCCTTTTTCCTGTGGTGACCACCAAAAATATCACTAGACATTGCCAAATGGCTGGGGTGGGGAGAATCAACTCTCCCTCCCCCCCATTTTTTTTTTTTTTATTATTTATTTATTGGCTGTGTTGGGTCTCTGCTGCTGCGGGCAGGCTTTCTCTAGTTGCAGTGAGTGGGGGCTACTCTTCGTTGCCGTGCGCGGGCTTCTCATTGCGGCGGCTTCTCTTGCTGTGGAACACAGGCTCTAGGCACACAGGCTTCCGTAGTTGTGGCATGCGGGCTCTAGAGCACAGACTCAGTAGTTGCGGTGCACGGGCTTAGTTGCTCCGCAGCATGTGGGATCTTCCTGGACCAGGGCTCGAACCCGTGTCCCCTGCATTGGCAGGCGGATTCTTAACCACTGTACCACCAGGGAAGTCCCCCTCCCCCCCACTTTAGAATCTCTGTCTTAGACAGTAGAAAAGAAAGATGCAGAGATGATCAATCAGATAAAATGACAATAAATCTAGAGAGTAATATTGAAGTCCCAACATCCTAGTAACAAGAGCTCACAAAGAGAGAACAAGAAAATGGGAGGGAGGAAATTAGCAAAGAAATAATAAAAGAAAATAATTGCAGATAAGATCAAAAGAACCCCTGAGTATCCAGCACAATCAATGAAAAAAGAACCATTCTAAGGTACATCACTGTGAACTTTTAGACCACTAGAGATAATGGGACGATTCTAGAAGGAAAAATAGGTCAGATACAGAGGAATGGGAACTAGAAAGGTATTAGCCATTGCAGTGGCAACACTGAAAGTAAAAGACAGTGGAACAATGCATTTAAAATGCTGAGGGAAAATGATCTTCAGTTTATCCAAATTATCAATCAAGAATGAGAAAAGAAAAAAAAAAAAAAGAATGAGAAAAGAATAAAGACATTTTCAGACAGTCAAGCCCTCTAAAAATTTATCTTCTATGCACCCCTTCTGAGTAAGCTACTGGGGTCTGTGCTTTAGCAAAGTAAAAGAATAAATGAAAAATCACGTATTTGGGCATTAGAAGATATTATTATTTTTAAAATAAATTTATTTATTTATTTATTTAAGCTGTGTTGGGTCTTTTGTTGCTGTGCACGGGGTTTCCCTAGTTGCGGTGAGCGGGGGCTACTCTTCGTTGCAGTGCACGGGCTTCTCATTGCGATGGCTTCCCTTGTTGCGGAGCACGGGCTCCAGGCACATGGGCTTCAGAGGCTGTGGCACACAGGCTCTAAAGCACAGGCTCAGCAGTTGTGGCGCACGGGCTTAGCTGCTCCGCAGCACGTGGGATCTTCCCAGATCAGGGCTTGAACCCGTGTCCCCTGCATTGGCAGGCGGACTCCCAACCACTGCGCCACCAGGGAAGCCCTAGAAGATATTATTGATGGGCATTTGATAGTTACATTGAAGCATCTGGATAAAATTCAGGTTAGGTACATTTTTTTTAAAGTAAAAAAATAAAGCAATTTTTAACTCCAGAAAGAACAGGAGATTTTCAAGAAAAGCGTTATCATGGTAACTTACTTGATTCAGCAACACCCTATATTTGTATTGTCAGGATGGTACAACCCTAACTGCTGACTTGAACGAGAGTTGGGATGTGGCTATGTCAGAAGGAAGGGTGAGGGCAAAGTGGGTGGTGGTGTGTATAAAAGAGCTAAATACTCAAATACCATGACAAGAAGTCAATAAATAATGTCTAAACCTGAAAATCAAGAAACATTGGTATAAGTTTATCATTTAGGAAATGAAGAACACCTAGCAGGGTTGTGGGGAACTGGGGTGAAGCTAGGTGGGGGAGAAGTTGGTCAGGGGACTGATGGGACTCCTGGATATTTTTTGTTAAAAGCCTTTAAGAACCACTTGAATTTTCACTTAACTGTATTACTTTCATTAAAAATAAAAATACAGACAAAATACAGACAAAAGTAAGACATATATATTATGGGAAGAAAATGCAGTGTCCCCTGCATTGGCAGGTGGATTCCTAACCACCTTGCCACCAGGGAAGCCCCTGGAAGAGGTAGTCTTGATGCAGATTCCTGAGATAATGTGTGTAATCTGTACTTGCAGGGCTGATCCCACTGATGTGCACCTACAACCATCCTGTCCGTGGATAGTTATGAAATACCTGTGTGAGTGCATAGACAGGTATGGGGCAAACCAAAGTTGTCAAGGACTATGCACACTGTGAAGCGACTGTGATGGGACAGGTTGTTGTCAAAGGGTATTGGTACCCTGGTATGTTCTGAGAATCTTGGGGAGAAAAAGGGGAACATGCACTTGGGGGCCTGCAAGATCTTCCTCCCTGCTTGACTACAGGGCAGTTTTCTGTCACTGTAGCTTGGAATAGGTTTTGTCTTTTCTAAGTCAGTCTGAAGTCCATTTGCCAAGACACTTCAGAGATGTCTGTGAATTATTATCCCCATTATAGAGATGAAGAAATTGAACCTCAGTGAGGTTCTTTCTAAAAATAGTATTTGTGATTTTTTTTTTTGCAAATTATAACAGCCTAAATATATTTCTTCATTATTTTGTTTTATTCAGAACAATTCTATCTTTTTGATCCAGGACACCCGGAAGTTTTTGAGGCCGTATTTAACAGGTCAGAAGAGCTACTATTTAACGACAAACTTTATGCACTGGGCAACTTGGAATTCTCAGCCAGCACCCAAAAAATTCCAAATCCTACTTCCCCACCCTGACAGCAGAGGGGCTCCGCGTGTAGGTGGTGTTTTTCAGGGATTCCGGAGGAGGCTGCTCCAAAAGAACTTGCCTCTTCCACACACGCCCCCTACCCAGTTTGGAACGCATCTGCAGCCCCAAACCAAAAACTGCGAGGGACTTTGGCTAAGAGAGACGTAGCAGGAAAAATCAGCAATTGCCCTTTCACCTCCTTTCTGATAATCAAACCATGCGCTTCATTAACCAGAATTTGGGCATCTAAGGAAAAATGTAAATTCATAATCTGAAAAGAATTTTGGTTACGTGGCTAGCCCAGGTACTGACTGCTGCGGAAGCGGACTCAGACCATTGTCCCACTTGCTAGTTTTGTTACTTGCTTTGTAAAGCCGAGGAACCTTACGCTCTGTCCCTGGCGAGGTGTGCTCTTCCAGGATCCCACCGCAGCCCGCCTCGGGTGTTCCCGGTTTTGAGCCCTTTCCGGGACCCAAGTTCCAGCACCCGAAGGTCTGCCCTACTGCCGGCCTCGGGGCCCCGGGCCCCGCCCACTTGGGCCTGGGGTCGGAGCCTCCTGGAGCCGGAGCGGGAGCCTGAGCCCGAGCGCCGCGGCCCCTTTAAGGAGCCGCTCTGCGGTAACCCGAGCCCGCAGTCCAGGCGGGCGCGGCGGCCGCGGCGGTAGCAGTATCCTCCGCGGCTGTTCCTCCCGGCGGCTCGGAGCCCGCGGCTCCCCTGGCTCCCAAAGAGCATCTCGCGGGGCGGCTCTGGCCGGCGCCAGCCCTCGGGCCGGGCCGGATGACCAGGCGACTGTAACCACTCGCCGCCCTCTCCCGGCCCGGCGCACCGCTGCCCGCGCGCGAGTCGCCCCGGGACCCGGCACAGGTGACGCCGTTTGGAGAGGGCTCGGGAGGAGGGCGGGCTCGCTTTGCCCCGTGGCTCTCCTGCGCCGCCGAGCGCAGCCCGCTGGCAGGGGCGCCGCGGCTTCCCGCCCCCGGCCTAGCGCGGCCGAGGGCTCCGGCGCCTGGAGGCTGGGTGGGCGTCCCCGGCGCGGGAGGCGGCCCGGGGCTCCGCGGAGGGCTCCAGCAGGTGTGTGCTGCCGGCTCAGCATCCTCCTAGCCCGGCGGGCTCCGGCGCAGCTCTGGGCGCAGATGGTGTCCCCGAGGCCCGCGGCCCCAGCGCTGCCCAGACGCCCAGCGTTCCACTCGCGTTTCCCGGGCTGTGTGATTCGGGCTGATGGGGCTGCCTGGGGGTGCCTCCCGGGTCTCAGCTCAAAGGGATGGGTGCTTTGGGCATCCAGGGAAAGCTTTCTTGTTAGAGGCCGGTACAGGATCAGGTGCATCAAGTGGGTAAGTCTCCCCCTCTTACACCTCCCCACTACTAAATAAAACAAGAAGCTTTTATTTACGCTTGCAGTTCTCAAGCGGGTCCCATTTTTAGCTACCGAGTGCTGAAGAGTCTAGTGGGAGAGGGACTGGGCGCAGAGTCAGAGGGAGAAATTGGTTTGTTTCCATCTCTACCACTGTATACCCGAGCAAGTTTATTGAACTAAGTACCTCGGTTTACCCAGCCATGAAATGGGATCCATAATGCTAGCATTTTCCTGTCGCCCTCCGTGAAAGCGCTTTGAGTTGTCTAAGTTCATTAAAGGTTCACTGTTGCTGGCCAGTATTTTCTTAGTTGTACACATCTGAGTGTGAATGTGGTGCACATTTTTATATGAAATTATAAAATTATTCTTAAAGAGTGATCTTTGATAATGTTTAAATGAATCTGATTCCAATTTGGGGACAAGTTGGAAGAGTCTGTGTGGATGTTAGGAGTTGATGTGTAGTAGGAAAAAAACCTGTCACTTTAGTAAAATCTTTAGCCATTCATAAACGGAGTTGAGAAAAATGGATCTTAGATTGTGTATTTTAAGTGAGATACTGCTGTGTGAGCACAGGGTATATAGTTTGGAATACAGTTTCATCTTTGTGTAGCCAGTTAAGGTAATACGGTAGAATTAATGCCAGTCCCCTTTTAAGTGTGCTATATGTGAAGTAGAGAATTTTCCCCTTGTTTATCTTGTCCTTAAATTATATGGGTGAAACTAAGTTAGAAAAGTGGACTCCTGCAACACTAGAAAATTTGAAAGATTGGCTTGAGGAACCATGGATTTTAGTTTATTTGCCATCCTCCTTCCTCTGCCATTAGGTGATCCTGAGGATAATATATTTTGAGGATGCCTTTTTTTCCCTACCCCTGCAGCTCCCTTTTGTCATATTACCTCCCTCCAGAGTTTGAATCCTTACTGTGTGATCTTGCGTGAGTTTTACCTATCTAGGGTGGATGCCTCACACCCAGCTGCTCAGTCAGTCATGATTTTTTACACTATTAGCTTTCTGTTCCTGTTTCTTTCACTCTAATCCTTCTTTACCTTGTTGGAAAGAAGAATGGCTTTTTGCGACTCACGCTGTATACTTCGAGGTGCCTAGGAATGGCAGTGGTCAAGGGGCTGAAACTTTATAGTAAATTCCAAAGAAGGAAGCCTTCTACATAGACCCTAGGGTATGGATGCAAGAGTTGGCCTACCTTTTCCTTCATTTTTCTGAAATCTCCATCGGAGAGAGATTCATTTGATTAGCAAGGTAAAGAGAGGCCTCCGGAGCAGGGAGCCATCAGAAATTTAACTCAGTGCTAGATTGGTTAAGAGCTTTCCCAGCTAGGAGTGGGGAAGGAGGAAGAAGCGACTTGGGTGGGGCTGGAGGGCCTGTCCTCCCAATAACCAGGTGACCAGAGAGGTGCTAAAGGAGCCCTGGATTCCTGACTGGGAAATGGGAAAAGGGCCGGGTCGCAGAGAGGGAGTGGTGGGGCTGTGAGGAGAATTCTAGAATGTGCCCTAGATGTGACTTGCCCTTTTTCCCTTTCCCTTTGAGAGTGTTTCTCGCCCTTCAGAGCCTAGCACAGCTGTCCTGCAGTTCTCAGACGTGTTCACTCTCTCCCTTGGTGCTCTAACCGATGCCCCACGTTTATGTTCCTCCCTCAAAGCTGGCCTTCCGTGTAAGAGAGGAAACTGAGCAGTTTGCTTCATAAGAGACCTTCAGACCTCATTGTCTCCCCACTCCCTTCTTGTCGAACTAATGTCCCACATCCTGCAGATTAAGGACTCATTTAGCTTTGTTATCTCTTGGAAGATTAAAAAGTGGGATACTCAGTTTGACTGAGAAAAGTAAACTGAACGGTCTACAGGAAGATACAGAAAACGAGTTTTTCTGTGGAGGAAGATAATGCATGAATTGTCTGGGTGAGAATTGTGGGCGATTGGACGCGGGAGGGCAGGACTGGGGGTGGAGCTGTGCCGGACAGCTTTCGCCCTTGTCCTTGAGAGAGGAAAGGATGCCCCCATGCTCCTACAATCACTTCGTTGTGCCTTCTCTCCTTCCATTTGCCTTGTGAGAGGAAGAAGAGAGAGCAACATGGCGGTGGAGTAACCATCAGTTCTGAAGGATGGCAGACAGGCTTTAGGGATGAGCTCCTTTCCCCTGGCATTGGTATCAGGCACTGGATGTATTACATCAGGGAACGCATTACATCAGGAAAGTGAAGTTAATTTTGTAAGAAAATCTAAGGTGTTTCAAGAGTGACTTTGGTGATGTTTTTTCTCGTTGGAGATGAAAGGTAGCAAAGAAATGGAGTCCTGCTGCTCTGGGTTTGTTATTCATAGTGAGACAGTTGGAGGTGCTGTGAGCAGATCCTGAAAAGAGGGCTAAGGATAGCAAAGGTGTGTGTGTGTGTTTGCTCAGAACATTGGTCTGTTCCAGGAGAGGGCAGTCCTGTGGCTACATGAGAAGGAGCTTGTGAGTCACTCTAAAAGGCCAAGGTTTGTGCAGACAGCCGATGAAGAAGACAGCTGGCAGTCTGTTCAGAGCTTGAGCCGGCACGGGGAAAGGAATCTCTGAGCAGCGTGCCCAGTAGCAAGGGGGAGGTCTGACTAGATGGAGAAAGACTTGTTTCAGGCATTTCTGGATGACAGCACAGTACAATTTTCACATTGACTCAGGGCACAAGTAAGTGTATGTGTATCTGAAACAGGTTTCATGAAACAATATGTACCCTTACTGTGTATTGTTTCTATTTTCATTTCTGTTTCTACTGTATTTCTGTTTCTGTTCTGTGTTCTGAGAAACTCATCAACTATTAATGGGTCACAGTCCACTCTTTGGAAACCATTTGTCTGCTGGATGGTAAAACAGGTTGCAGCCTGGGTCTTGGGGTTGGAGACGCTGGAGGAAGTGGGGGGCACTTAGAGTGGTTGGGAGATCCCTGGACCCCTGTCGGTGGGGACAGGGGGAAGTGTGGGAGCTCATCTGGTGTCTGGAGGGTGAAGGACTCACTTTAGTGAAAGGCAGCTGGATGGGCAGGTGCAAAAATAGAACTTCCTACCAGTTCTGTCCACTTCAAAGCAAAACAGTTGGTTTTGAGGGAAAAGGAGGCGTGGAAGGAGTAAGCTTGGATTTGAAAGTAGTATCTTTAGAGCAGTAGATTTTTGTCTGTAGGTTAAATAAGAAGACAAATGGATCCAGAACGAATTGGCTGTTAGATTTAGGCCGCTTTGATCAGCTGGGTAGGGAGCAAAGGGAGTCACAGTGCAGAGTGGGTGGGTAGGCAGCACACGTCTCCCCTTCCAGCTTTGAGAAGTTCTTGCAGAAGAAGCGGATGGATGTGTTGTTTCAAAACCCCATTTGCTGATCAAACTCCTTAGGAAGTTGGCTGCTTGCCTCACAGTGAATTGGAAAAGTATTCTCATTACATTTTATAAAAGGGTTTATCAAGACTTCTTTAGACATCTATTTCAAGATCTACAGTCAAACTGGAATCATCATTCATAGTCTTTGGGATTGCCAAAAAAGCTTCTTGGAGAAATAGGTGAGACAGCATCCAGCATCCTTGAGCTAATTCCACTAGCTGTGCCCTGAATGTTTATCAAGGTCAGAGTCTATCTGTAGGCCTTTGATTTCCTTTTTATAATAATTAACATCTGACTCCAATACCTAACACCCTCACCAGTGGACAAATACAACAAAGCCGGGAGGAAAACGTACACAGGTATCAGAGATCACCCGGGTTGCTTGGTTACTGCTTGCTTTTATCATCCACATTCTGACCTAGTTGGATCCTTCCTTTGACCCATCCCTGCCTTGTCTGATTTTCTTAGTTGATATATTTTCAGTGTCTGAGTTCGCTGCTCCTCCGCTGTCTGCTATCTATTTGATGCTTTCAATCCTGGTTTCTCTGACATCATCTCTGAGCTCCAGACGTATAGTCTCCACCTGACTGTTCCCATGGAGCCCAGGCTTGGAGCCCATGTTGGATCCCGGCCTGGGCTGTGTTGGTGTCCACTGTGACATGGCCGCTTTAGAAATAGCTGTTACATTGGTAGACTTATACATCAGTTTTGATTTAACTTTAAAATTTTGGGGACATGGAGAAACTATCTTGGTCAAGTTAATTTAATTAGCTTTCTTCAAATAGGCTTTAAAAAAACCTTTAAAAAGTACATTTTGAAGGAACAGAAAACTTCTCTTTGTTTCGCACATGTTTATTTAGTGGAAGAGGAGGAAGGAGGAATTTTCATTTGATAAAAAAATTTAGAACAAATGAAAAACCACCCTTTACAAAGTGTTTCATTTTAGGGATATAATTCCCCAAACTAGTCTTTCTCAATTAACATGTTTTGCTCTAATACATGTAAAAATATTGAGCCAATTATGAATTTAAATGCTTTATAATTTGTTATATGCTGTTTTAAGGGCTTATAAATTCTATAGCTATGTTCCGATGGAGAAAGATTCTTTGCCTTTTCATATTTTAACAACGTGTATGAATGTTACTGAACACATCAA